GCTTATGAAAGGCATATTTGCGTGAGTTTTATCTAGCCTTATCCTGACATTTCGAAAACTTCGAAGATCTAGTGGCATTTGTTCTAATATAAATAGCTGTCGGACTCGTACGTTATATTAAATGCAATGAATACAAGGGCAGAATAGAGCAGCTGTGCCTTGGAATCCAACACATGAAGCGTTTGCGGTTGGTGCAAGTGCAGGACCATTGATAAAGCCTACTGAAGCGGTGATATTCAAGTCTGAGAAAGCCGCAAAGCTGTGAAAACGGATGCAAACACTAGCTGATATGGCCTGCATATGCAGGTCCACAATTGTTAGTCGATTTTTACAATTCCTACTTGGTCGTTTCTGAAGATAGCATGTCAACCGTGCCTCCATTGAAACCATTTATTACTTTGCATTGAGTGATTAACCGCACTGACCTTCTGTCAGTGAGCATGTGGTGAGCCCTGAACGGAGTTCACGGCAGAACTCGCTTGTGCGACAGACAACATTTAATGTTGACACCAGCTTACCTGCAAAACAGGATCTCCGCTACCTCAGCTGTTGTTGTAACGATTGGTGCTTCAGCAACAACACATTTCGATAAGGAGCATCATGTAAGGTTAGTAATGGCAAAGTGAGTCGCTGAAGTTCGAAATGTGTTATGCAAATGAGCCATTGGCACGATTTTCATACGACAGGCGATGATGTGCGCCGAGGTGATCGCGAATAACAGCCAAAATACAGTGAATTTGCATGTAATCAGATTGGTCAACATGAGCCAGCTTTGGTCTGCTCAGAATATATTGTTTTATCGATCGGTTATGAAGCGTCATACAAGTCTCTGAGGATCTGCAAATATGAAGAACAAATTCTTCGTTCACTCCGGCGACCGTCACGATCAGAACAGAACTCATTCTAAAAATGAAGCACTCTGAGTGTGAGTCAATTTTCAAGTGTATCTTGATGATGTATGAACACTTACCGAGAGAAACGAACACATCTACAAGTGGCAAAACTTTATTCCCGAAGGAAATACGCGTCTGCACTTGGTTCAAGGCCAGCGGTGTTTTCCGTATCCGACGAATTAGCTTTCAGTTTTGTACACTCAAATGTGATTATGAATAGAAGGACAAGCGCGTGTCTAAAATTATTCGTATTTTTCATAAAATGTGAAACAGAAATACCTGCGGCTACGTTTGGAGGTTGTTTAGCCTTTATGGAAAATATTTTTGGGGCTAATCAGCTACCTCTTATGAGTTAGAAGTAATTATGCTGTGCAAATCAGGTCACCATGAATCTCTGCAGTGCCTTATAGTCGCCGGCACATATTCCATCGATTCAAATTTTGTGTAATGTCTCCTGCTGTTTAACATGAAACGAAAGAAAGCGCCTTTTGCTCTATGAATTAAGATTCAGCAGTTTAGTCCACTTAGCTGATGGTTATGGAACGGAACCCACGATCGGGGCAATCAATAAAATCCTTGGAAATATGCGCGTGAGAAACAACGGGTGAAACGAGGTGACATTCGTCGCGCCGTTTTTCCTCAATAGGGAACCTTACCTTAGTTGGTTTCCACCTCATTCTTCTGCAGACAATTCGCTTTAGAAATTGATAGCCTATAAAGCGACTTTCCCTGTTTAATTCATCGATTTTGCAGGAACACCGAAGGTAATCGAACAGAGAAGTAGCAGGTCAGTGTCCTATGACTTCTGGAAGTTATGCGACCAGAGCATTGGTGTCTCAAGCTGAAGTGCATCTAGAAGCGTGAAATTAATACAAAACTTTCACCTCATAAGTATATAAATCACGTTTGTTCATTCGTTGGCCATACTCGAAGCTTCGCCATATGGGGGAGGGGGACAGGGGACCATGAAACGCGCGATTCGATCACTCTATAGGCCTATTTGGTGGATGCACTCAAACCTGAATGTGCTGAATGCTGCATGTTGTAGGACGCTGGTTTTGCCACGCGACGTTCACCGGTCATCGGCAACTGGACAACGCAACGAACGCGGCAGACCGATCAATAATGACAGCACCCTCTTCTCTGAGCGCTTCGTGTTCTGTGTCATTCACGACGCTGTTTCAGGACGAAATTAAGGAAGTGAAGCCAGCTAACGGGCAATTCACTAAGAGCCTGTGCAAAAACACCAAAGATGGGGCATTTTGGAATTAGTCGTGGCACTGTCTCCTGACTGCTTGCTTCGACTGAATCCGGATTGAGGTCAACCAGCGACGAGGAGAGGAAAGACGACGTCGCTTTCGAAACATCGTCTGATCTGACCAACACTACGGCATGTAACGCCGTGTCCCCTGCTGCACATCGGTGTCGTCGGTCGACTGGCCTGGTCGTGTGCCTGGTCACCCTCAACGCCAGTCATACAGATGCCAGGGTGGATCTCAGCTGTATTCCTCTGTATTCCTATGGTGAACTTGGTTTTGTCCCTTGTTAGGCTGTGGACTGTCCATTGAACCTTCGTGCTACCGTATATGTGAACCATCTAAAAGCCGGTGAATTTTCTTACGTGGTACGTGGTCGCAAAAGCCACCTAAGTTTCGCTGTTCCTGTGTGAATTTTTTCCCATGTATTTCGAACGACATTCGTCCATGCGCAGCAGAAACCACTTAGCTGTCGTGCGTAACAACGCCAATCAACACCTGCTCATGTAGACAGTTTCGATATAGATTCTGTTGAGCCTTGAACGGTTGGTGTGTTTCATGATCTTCAGTTATTTGCGGGCTCTCGTCTCCAGCGATGCCAACGCCTTCCTTGTGCTGGCACCTCCACGTGGTAGCGCTGGCCAGTCTGTCGTTCGTCGCTGCGTATTTTGCATCCAGAGTTTTTCCGTTCAATTGTGGAAGAGGAAACATTCAACCTCCTGCATACGACGTCTCCAGTCCCGCTCACGTCCTCCGCTCGACGTGTTCAAGACAACGTCCAATCATTGAACTGCGGCATACTCAATGGGTACTGTAGGCATGCGGGCTGCTTCGAAATTTAGCATACTTTTTGCCGTAAAACTATCAGCTTTATCGCGATTCAAACGATCAATCGTCTATTGGTGGGTTTTATACTGTGGAATTTGCAGTCTCCCGTTTCATTGGCTAAAACGCAGCTTGAAGCCGGCAAACTGTACACCAGATACACCAGTATCGCATGTACCAGATACCTTCGTTGGTGTGCAATATACCTCAAGACTGCAGCATTCGAGAGACATTCACCTCCATGTTTTGTATACGATACTTTTAGAAAAGAATCTTGCTCCCGATCCTACTGTTTGTTTAACTACAGTTTCAACACTGAGGTCGAATTTAAGCAATAGTTGTGAAGTCAGATCTTCAGCAAGTCTCCATTCACGTTGTTCATCTGACGTTTTGACTACCGCCTCTTTTCCATGCCGTTTTTCATATCATTCGTAAACCACCTATTTATGAAGTCAGACTCTCGATTCTTTCAACGTGTTTTCATATCAATTTCCTGTCCTTCCGTGGAGGTTACTTTTACCCTCCCTTAAAATCTGAGGTGCTGTACCAATCATTACTTGACTGGTAAAAGCGAACATAACATCCAAAACCTGTTTCAAAGAGAAATAGGAGGTATAAAGTATTAAGTGTAAATATTTCATGCAAAAGTTTTCGATCACCTGATAACTCCAGTGGCATTTCATTTGGCGAGCGAGGTAATAAGTATCTCCATGTTAGTGACGAATAATGTTCACATGCGCATTATTTTCTGCGGTTACCATGAATCTAGCTCTGCTAAACGCAGAATGAATGACTCTACAATTAATGCAGGTCATCTTCAGTACAACAAAGAGTAGTAACCACCTAGAGATTGCAGCACTGGACAACCGAAGGCGAATTATACCTCCTAGTTCAAAAGCACTTCACCCCAAACACATACTTCATGATTAATAATTATTCATCAAAAACTAATTTATGTACTCTCTCTCTAGCCAGCCACTCGTGCTTATTCAAATGGATTGGATCCTAATTAAAGTGCGTCTTGATCAGCTTCAATAACAGGCCGTTCCCTCACTGAACCATGAGGTAACGGCCAAAGGTTTGTGATCACTTTTGTCACATAAAGATTTGAGTTTAACGGCAGCGTTTTCATTGCAAATAAGTTTTTGAACTTTATTCTTTTTATCCCAGTACTCCATACTTCTAGACGGAAGTTGACCAAAATTACGTAAATTGCTTCCTGCCAAATGCAATGCTGTGCACTGATATTATAATGAAACCGGTGGTATCAACATCATTGCTGTAATAACCCTGAGGCGCCACTCCTGAGAAAGATGCATTTAATTTTTCTAATTCCCGCCAACATATTTTTCTGTTTTATATGGCATGGTGCACTCAATCGAGCGGATCGTTAATATCGGCGGTCCTTCATTTGAATTTTATTCATTTATTTCAAGCCAACCAGAAATAGCGTATGCACTCTGTTTCAAGCAATACTAGTGGTCACCTACATAAAATGCAATCGTTGGGGGGGG